GGAACCCCTCAAAAACTAGGAGGAGGAGAAATAAATTAATTTCGCTCAAATATCACAAACTTGAAATTTTCTAGAGTTACACAGGTGCAAAAACGTCTGCCAGAAGAGAGTCCTCCCTCAATATTTTTTTTTCCAGAAATTTCTATCAGGTTGGTGATGCTGCTCAATCATGGTCAAGATGACAAGGGAGGGAATTTAGAGAAAGATGAAGCAGCTTCAGTTTGGCCACATTTGGCTTCAGTTGATGACCACACATGGTAGCAGAATGACAGGCTCTGAATGAAGACTGTAATTTGGCTAGATTACTCCATGTGCATGCTACTTCCCTAATCCAGTGATAAATGAGTCCAAGATCCTTTTATTCTAACCCACTTGTCAGTTCTTTCTTCAGGATTTGTATCTGTGGAGCTAACACATCAGCAGTTTTTACATGTAACATGAAAACACAGAAAAACTAGTTTTATTTACTCTCCTCAACTGACTTTATCATCTATCATGTATCACTTATCATCTAACAATTCCCAAAATGTTCCCTGCTCAAGCTAAAGAACATTATTTCTCTACTATAGAGAAAAATCTTTGAAAATTTAAGGACAGTATCCTATTAAATTCAGCACTACTTTAACCACATTTACAACAATAAAGAAATCTACTTACTTCAAATGAGACACCTTTATCATTTCAATAGCTGGCTCATCATTACCTCGCTCCCCACGAAATGCAATGCTCCTGCCTGGAACACAGAAGAGACATGGCAGAAAACAGGAACAGCCAAACTAAACTAGAACCTCTCTAGCTGGCCTGCCATATCTTAGGTAACCCTAGTCACTGCTAGGGTTTTTACTGTATTTCTAGAGATTAATAAGATTCCCTTATATTCACTTGGAATTTCCTGGTACTCCAGATATGGCCTCAGCAGGGCTATAATGTAATTAAACTGTTATTTAAACCACAGTGTAAATTACACTGCCTAATACTTCATAAACAACTCACTTCCATAGCACAACTACTAAGACCAATGCATAGCCGGCATTACATAAAGTATAAAATAAATTCAGGAAGTTATTAGTTTCCATTTAAAGACTAGTAAGTATGAAACATATTGTTGATTCCTCAAGTTAGAAATCCCTGAGTAGATTGCAAATTTTGTAAAAGAATTGAATTCTGCCATAATCTAACATTAAAATGAGAAAAAAATGGAAGTATTTCTCTGAATTAACTCCTTCTACTGTTAGTGGGACCATTAGTTTCTTTCCAGGTAAAACAACCAGCTCTGATAAGATAGAGAGTTTCTATGTGTTTTTATTTTTTATTTTTAAATCTCCAAACAAAATTTTGAATTTGGCAGAATTAAAGCTGTTACACACAACACTGAAATAAAGAACGATCTACATACATTAAATATATCACAGCATCTTTACGCAAGCTTCTTCTCTTTCCGCAACATGTTTTCAAAAATACCTCTCCTGTGGCCACTCACAGCTAAATGACTTGTCTACACCAGCCAGGTGACAGGACTCTCTATCGACAACACAGCAGCACTCATGACATGGGAACCTCAAAGCTCCTTTTCTTCATTACGGATCAGACACCTTAGAATATTTTTCCTTGTTGTTAACAGCTCAGAAAATAAAGTAAGAATTTTGTCAAAGCATTTAAGAAGTGAATGCAAATAGCACTCATTTCTTGGCCCTAAAAAATGAAGTTGGGCTAACATGGCAGAACTGATGCTCATTCAGTTAAATCTTATGCCATTCTTGTAAGCTTTAAATGGAGATTTTTTTTAAAAAAATAAACCTAAAGCATCAATTATTCATATTTATTTGAAACTTGTTTGCCTGAGGAAGTCCTGAGTTTTTTATTACTCATGATTATAAATGTTTCTATAGTGATTTAAAATTTAAGTGAAAAATTCAAACCATATTTTCCATTAAATACATCTTACAAAGTTCATCTCCTTGCTCCCCATCTTCTGTTAAATGAATGAACGAGAGATATAAGGGAAAAAAAAAAAAACAACAAAACCTTGCAATTTTGCCATGGTAAAAGACCAGTCACTTTTTCGGGACTGGAGATACGAACACTGAGTCTTCCACAAGCATTAAAGAAGCCTAATTGAGAATTATTCATGTGTAACAAGACTCTTCAATCAGAAATTAAATGGTTCTACATTTTCACTTTGGAAAATAATTCAACATTATTGTTTCCTACTCTGGGCTCTTTAATCGCACAAATTAAACTCCTTGGTATTGTGCAAATATTGAACTAACAATCAGAAAATGTATTTGTCATGTGCCATAAGGTCTAAGTGATTGAAAAAGACAAACAGATTGTCAGGCTTACCATCAGTAACCATTTTTTTTAATTACGTATTTTTAACTTTTCCAGTTATACACATTGTATTATTAGAATGTAAATTAATTTAAATAATAATAATAAAATATATATTTTAACTCTTCCAATCATAAAAGTTTACAAATTTATTATTAAAATCCTCACTTTGCATTCATACACCCACAGAGACTTCCTATGTTTCACAAGTGTATTAAACTATGACTTTAAGAAAGAGGGTCATTCTTTTATTGAAGCCAAGGCACAGATGTCTGCACAAACTTATTGTTTCCAGTTGGTGAGTGAAGCACCAGTTGGAACACATTACGTGGTTTCATAAAGAAGACCAAAATTTGTTAAATTCTTCTTTTTCTTTTTTCTCTCTCTCTATGACAACCAAAATTTTTTTTTAAAATGTATTTGTCACTCACCAACAAATCTGTCAGCCTCCTCAACAGATTTCTCAGGAAATACTAACCTGTTGGTAAGTCCACCAGCTGCAGCTCATTCCTGACTAGCCCCAAATTGTTAGGTGTTGATGTGGCAAAGGAAAGAAAACCAGTCAGGCTTATCCACTCGATTCCCCTGTCATCAGAAGAGAGCACAGAGAGCTTATTAGCAGAAACACTTGAATGGCTGCAAGATATCCTAGCTTGAAATAAAGTATTGACTTCATGTAACTGGTAAACAAACATAGACCTAGTTTTCTACAATTTGCAGAAACACTGTATTTTAGCATAAGAAGAAGATATGCCTTTGTACACATGATGTACATATAATAGAAATGTTTCAAATTAAAAGCAAGAGCTCTCTTTTCAGACTACAGTGACATATTAGGTTCATGCCTGATCACAGAAAAATTTTCTTCAACTTTTGTCAGAAGTCCTCAGAGATGCTCAGCACTACTGTGGGCTAAAACCACAGCTGTAATGTAATCAGTGATTTGTCATCTGGAAGCACTATGAAATAACGCAGATCTGCCAAGATAGAAAAATCAGGGAAGGGAAACCTATACCTTTCCTCCAAAGCATCAGAAAACAAGTGGCACACAATCGGGCACAGATTTTCCCCTTTCAGATAATGCCATGGCACCAAAATAAAAATCTGCTTGTGTTGTAAGGATGTAAAATTACAATCTAACGTAACACAGTGCCAGCTTATATGGGTCTGAAGCAAATTCATTTGAGTAGGATAAAACAGACAACAAAACTATCACAAAGATGTGATAGGATACAATTTCAAAATGAGATAATCTTGTCCTTCCCCCTTTTCCCACGCACATAGTTTGTGCTAGCATAAATATTTGACTGGTTTATCTGTTAAACAAATCAAGGAACTAATCTGAAAGAAAATTAAGACTGCTCTAATACATATCTACACAAATGAATATACAGGTCATTTTTATTTAGGAAAAAAATACTTGTTTTTTTCCTTAAATCCTTCAGACACAGATTATTTAAGAATTATCTCCAAGATGACTATTCTGTTGCATCATTTGCAAAATTATGGTCTGTTTTGCAGCAAAATATGTGAAACATGGGACAATCAAACAAACAACAGTTTGATTATCATGAGATACAACTTAATATAGTGTAAGCTGAAAAGTTCTCTAAATAAAGTTTATACAGTCAAAGCAAAAAGCACACCTGTAATGTTTCACATATACAAATAACATCGTTATTTATCTTGTTTATTTTTTAGTTTAAGCTATTAAAAGTCATAAACTTCAATGGAAATTATTAATCACAATAATAAGTTTCTTTTTAGTTGTTCTTTTATGATTGCATGCACTGTGAGATGTTCCAGGTCTGTGAATAATTATAAACACTGGCAGCATCCTGAGAAGGATAAAACACAATTTATAACATCTGATTTTTATCTATTATTCCACTTTTATTATAAATAATACAGCATAATTGTAATGTATTGCTATTCCTGGTAGTTATTTTGCATTCTCTTTCAAACAGACGAATCCTTTTCAGTTTCATTCATCAGCTCAGATCTAACCAGAGAAGTTCCGTTTCTTTGCTTCCAGCTGGCCACTTGTCAACATTAATAAAGATATAAAGAATCCTAAAACATTCATAATCCAAAAGAAATTTTAGCTAATCTGCTTGTACCGGAGACAGTATTTTTTCTCCTTGTCAAACACATAAGCTAAGGATTCTGAAGAAAGTACTTATTTACTGAATTAAGGAAAACAGCGGTTCAAGGTTTAATGAAGGAAACAAGTAACGGCTTCCCTATTGCAATATTTCCATTTTGCAAAGTTTCCTCCTAAGAGACACCGTTATCTCCTAAAATTAAGAGTTTCATTCAGCTGGCTTTATAGAATGGGTCTATTCCTGGCAAATGCTGCTGGCATTTGTCTGGCAAAGCATAATTTAACAATAAACAAAAATAAGATAAATTCACTCAAATCTACATGGCGGAACTGGTAGATATTTTTCATGCATCATTCTCCAAGTGAGAAAGGGTTTTCGTTTTTAAGGAGGTGATAAGTGTTTGCAAAAGCACTTCCCAGGGGGGAGCCAGCCTGAATCTGGCTGCTAGCCCATGGATGTTGTGCAGTAACACACCAGCAAGATGTCGTGTTCTGCCTGCAGGCCATACACATTCTAATTTACAGTCAGCAAGATTTTTAGTTTAAAAATTAAACATGTTGCTACTTTGAACTTGCTGGGTATTGGTAAAGAACTAAGCAGCACTGCTCTAGTCATAGTTATCTATATAGCAATGAGCCAAAGCAGCAGTGAGAGCATTCAGAAAGAATCATTTCAACTAAAAAAGAAGCTAAATCACAAATGTTTTAATTACATGTCTCAAATGCACTGCCTTCTATCCTGAAGACATATTATCACCACTCATTTTGCCACGCTGGCTTATGAAAAATTCAGATTACTCCAGTCAGAAAAAAAAGGGAAAAGGTAATAGAATTAGTTATTTCACCTTTTTAATTCCTCTTTGTAATAAAAACATCTGACTTTTCAGTAATAAAAAACAAAATAATCACATTTCTCTAACTTAAAGGAACAAAAACAAGAAAAAAAAAGACTGATCTTCCACACAGGGCTTTTCTCAGCCAGCCCACCTTCTAAAGCCTCCTTCTAGCTTTCCCCCCTCACTCCTGCATCTAACTCCAGCCTGGCTTTTTCTTCAATATACTCTGAAGCTCTCCTGCTGTTTCTTTCCTCTGTCTCCAGATAAAAACCCAAACTAAACTCAGAGAAGAATTTACCTGCATAGTTTGTACACAAGAGTAACAATAAGTTTTCATTTTGTCACTGACTGCTATTTAGTTGTTCCATTACTTCTTTAGAACCGTCTTAGACACAGGACAGAAAAACCTCTCCTCCTCATCACAGTGCAGCTCCACAAAGATTTTTGTTGTTGCTGTTGTTGTTTTTAAGTCACAATTCCTAGCACCTAGACAACATGTGTTGGTAACACGTGAAAGACAGCTGCCTGCATTGTAGGATTCAAAGACCTGAATTTTATTATTTTCTGTTCTTAAACCACAGTGCACATAAAACTCTGCTGGCATTTAGATACAGTTCTAGGGTATTATCAATTACATACTAAAATAATGTTGCTCCCTGCAGATATACTATGAATTAAAGCTGAATCCAACATTTGGAGGCAAAGAACTCCCACTGAAAGAAAAACTGTTGCACTCTATAAATATTAATTTAAAAATTATCATGCATTATTCCACACTGCTTAAATCATTCCTTTGAACTTGTCAGAATTATGTAGAAAGTCACTGAGACCATTAAAAGCTGGATTGAGAAACTAAATAAATCTTTAGATGATTTGCTCAGATGACTGCTTCTGACTATGAGCATTAAACAAAATTCATAGTCATTTTAATTCTGTTCCAAAAATACCTGCTATGCAAGGGCATTTCCTGGAAAGTCAATGTACTGTTGAAATTGCTCAAATGTTGCAAAACTTTTACAAAGCGAAGAGCCCACACTAACTATACTTGCAGTACTATATAACCTAAATCAAATAAATGGATAAAAAAAAAATTCTAAGTATATTTCACACGTGTTCTAATCTTAAGAAAACATTTTATCTCTATGTGTGAAATGTTAGCAGTGGTTTTAATAAAAGTTTAATTATATCTGTGCAGTGTTAGCCTTGGTGTTAATTTTGAATGCGATAGTCATACGAGTGAAAAATTCAGGTGGAAAAGCAGAATTATGTATCCCCTTGGGCTGCATAAGAAAACACAGATGAGAAATCCTCTTGTAAACAGTTAATCATACGAAACGAGCGTAAAACTCAAATGTATTAGAGTAGAAAGCAAAATTCTGTTCTTACAATACCTACCAATCACATCACAAATGCAACAAAGGCAAAAACAGCCAATACACATCTTAGATCAAACTGCCCAGAACCAATTCATTTACTCAATTATTTATATTTCAAATGTAATTTTCATTCCAGTTTTGATAGTGAGTTACTGCTTATATATGGTCAGTATATTACTCCTTATGGCAGATTATTCAAGAGGCAATTTTCTTGAGTGTCACTATCGATGAAATAAGCCACCCACATTGCTTGTTGCTTGTACTTTTTATTCCTCTTTCATTTCCCAAAAGGATTATAATATGAATTAAAATCTTACTTGACTTCACAGGAATGGATGCTTATCTCTTTGTGTAACAGTCCACTTGTAAGATTAAACACCAAGACAGAACCATTACTTGTACCTACAAAAAGCGATTTAAAAAAAAAAAAAAATACTCGTCAGTTTTTTCATCCTTGAGTGAAAATACAAGACTTAAAGCTATTTCTTTTTCATCTTTAACTAGTATATATTATGCAATTTTAGAAAAGGCACTTCAATTTCTACTGTTTAATTACAAATTAAACCGTCTGCGGTTCTCTGAAGGCAGCTAAATTAGTTTGAGTCAAGACATTTTCCTGAATCTATTTGTGGGGCCTTTAGAACATCAGTTGATTCTTTTTGCATTTTCACCATATACCAAATAACAGGAGAAAGAAGTGTTTTTACTTTGATTACTCAAGGAAGAGCATTAACCATTTTCATGGGTAATCCCAGCAGAGAATTGTGAGTAAATTTTACCTGATCATTGCAGCAATTCTGTTTTCTCATCCCTGAGATAATGACCTCTTTCAAATAACAAATCAATAAACTAGCAGCTGTTAGCTACAAGTAGATCAAAAACTTTGGGGAACACTGAAATTATAATTTTCTAATAGACACTGGGAAGACTTACAGTCCTGCTTTATACCCATATCAACTTTTCTAAATATAACAATGGAACTGCAAAGTTTCAGGCACCTCAAGTGCAGAATGCTGCAGACTGCTGGAAATGCTCTCTGTACCTCTTACTAGCTTCTTAACCTTATATTTCACCTGTTCTAACAGTAGCAGCAGCCAGCAACATCCATAGGATTGAAAGTTATGCTCTAGTAGCCTTGCATCAAGTAACATAGGATTGAAAGTTATGCTCTAGTAGCATTGTATCAAGTAAGAGCTTTCACAACTACTGATGAGGCACTGGGCCGAGTGGGAATAGAAGTGTTATAAGAAGTGCACACGTACAAGCATGCACTAGTGTGTCACACTCATTACTGCAGTGACAGGCTCACGAGGAGCTTAGGAGCTCCTGCGGAGCCCAAATGTGTAACCTCTATTTCATACACTTGTTCTAGGGAAGTAAAGCTGCCGAATCACATGTTTATTGATGTCTAGAGTGAAGAGAGAGCAGAAAACGATGAGCATTAAAAACGGACCAAAATTATAGCAAATGATGGGATATATATATAAAGTAGCTAGTATAATACAATATTTCAGGCCATGTTTCAGGCCTTGAGCTAAAGGCAGAGGAAAAAAGAATAGAATAGAAAGACTATCTTAGAAGACCATCTTAGATGAAACCTAATAGCAAGGTCGCAGGGAGCAGTTACACACACTCAAACAATACAAATATATTTTGTTCTAGTAACTGTGGAATTTAACCCAGAATATAAAACCTTCAGAGCAATCAATAAACTATTCAAGAGACTTACCAACAGCAAGGAGTGGCTCGTATTGCTTAATGTTTTTGGTCGTAAGAGGTGGGCACATGCGGATAGCAAACGGAGGCAAGGGAAGTCCTGAAAGAAGCCCAGTCAGCAGAAATTTCAGGTGTACTTCTTGCAGAAAAGGACATTTTGACTGCTCTTCTGCAGCAGCTGTGCCTTGCCCTGCTTTAAAAATTAAAGCTCCTGTTAGTATTACATTTTAATCTCATAGCTCATAAAAAGTTATCAGACACAGAGGTTAAAAAATAAGGATTACAATAACCTAACATATAAATTAGCAATGTTCAATTAAGGAGGCATTCCCTCCTACTGAACTAGGTATGATGGAACTCTTCCTAACACTGCACTTCAGCTAGTGATCTCTCCTGTAATAACTTTCATTTCTAAAGCTAAAAAGGCATAAGTAAATAAATAAATAAATGCAAATACAAAGAAATAAGCTACAATTGTTTCAGTATTCTTCCAGCATCCAAGGGTATTTCCTACTTGTTTCCTCTCCTCCTTTTTTTTTCCTAAGTTAGAAACACTTTAAAATTGTAAGATCAATTCAAAGACTCATGTAGATATAATTCCAAGAAGCAAAACTGAGTGGTCCACTGCTAAAGATTAAGAATGAAGTTTGCTCAGGTGACACATGAAAGATGTGCTGCTGTCAATTGTACCAGTTCATGTGATGTATGGTACAAATTGACAACATCAGTCCACAAATTGACAACATCAATGATACAAATGACTACAGAAATTTCAGATAACAGAAAAATCACTTAATCTTTAAACAGGGGAGATTAAGCGTATAATAACATCTCCTGTTGGTAAGCCTGCACCAGCAACACAGACAACTTATCAACAGCAAATCTAAATCTGTTCCTTGGCACCTCTGAGAAGCACTAGACATTTTTCCAATAAAAATCAATTTCAGTACATAATTATCTGCACGGAACTTCTCTATGGAACGTTTCTCTGTATTGAAGTATTAGTTGTTATCTAGTTTTCACAAAGGCCTGGAATACATCAGTTAAACTGTCTTCATCCATTTAGGATAACTTTTTTTTTTTTTTTTAAAAAAAAAAGGAATTCATTTCTTTGGATTCTTGGCCAAATTCCAATCTGAATTACATTTTCCTCTTACAGCACATGAACTCTGAACAATAGCTCTCAACAACAAAAAAAGGATAATCAATAATTTCTTTAGCAAGCAGGAATTACTACTTTTTCTTTGTAATTGCTACTAAAATTACACAGAAAATAAATCTAACAGAGAGTCTCAAGTAAGCTAAGATTTCTGAAACACTGCATCTCTTAAAAATTAATAACTGGAGTATTATTGTAAGAAATCCTTACCTATCATGTTGTCTAATGAAAGATCTGGAAGTTTATTTTGGAATGTTCCTACAGGAATTCCACAGAATGAAACAGGGGAATACAAAGGCGACGCACTTGAACTGCTGCAAGAGAAAGAAAATGAGTTCCTAATGCAAATTGACTCAAGTCCTCAATTTAGAGATTTCCTATATTGTTCTCAGCATTCCCACTGCTTATTACTTGCAAAATCATTTTGAAAGATCACTTCCTGCATCACTTGCTGTAAACAACTCTACCACAAGAAAACAGATGCAATTCAGAACTATTACCAAACTTGCATATGACTTTATTACACATGAAAAATGAATTCATGTTTTTTTTTTCTTATGAATAAGTGCACCCAAGCACTGAAAGAAGCCGTTTAAATATATAACTTATTCATATTTATAGCCAAGCACTGAAAGAAGCCGTTTAAATACATAACTTATTCATATTTATAGCCACAATAATGGATACAGCTAATCAGAAATATTTAGATGTTTAAGAACACAAATTCCAGAAGTTCTGCTCAGAAGAGGGCTTCCTAGATAGGATTCAGATAATGAAGCCCAACACTGGAGCAACACCTGACACACAACAGATGAAACGTGTACAAAGGTACAGCAGAAACCTACATTACCTGTATTTGTACTCCTGTCAGGTATCTAGGCCTCAGTTTGGGGGTATTTTTTCCTACTAACTGCATCTGGAATTCCAATGCAATCTCCAGCTGAAAGGGACTCAAACAGGCCCTGCAGCCTTGACCATAATGTTACTGGACTAAGGACAGAGCTAGGCGACCATCAGAAACAATGGAATGCACCAGGTTAAGGTACATAGAAGGCCTTTTTCCTTAAATTCCCACTTCCCTTAAATTTCCTTAAATTCTGTGTTCAAATTTTAAGCAAGATCAAAACAAATTCATCAAAAACAAGAGCCAAAGGAGGAAGACTCCTAAAAATGCCTTAAAAATTCTGTGTCGACGAGAAGTATTCTTTAGTTTTCAGCATAACCCAACCTTATTTGGGAATCCTCTAGACCCAGTACTACTTATTTTATTCCACTATTCCTAGTTACATGATCATGACAAAAAACAATGTTTTAGAAATGTACTTAAAGAATTCAAGGAATAAAACCTAGCAACACACGGATCATAAACAGCACTCTTGGATATGCATCACAAAGATTCCAGCTAATAGTACTTCTGGGAACACCAACAATAAAAAAGTTAAATCGCGGATGAGCAACAAAAGGAGCTATGTTGAAAATCTGCTATTTCTGGCATTTAAAAATGTAACACAAATTTTATATTTCTTTTATGCAAGCAAGCAATTTATTTTATTACATAGCTACGTGTTTACTGACCTTAGCACACTGAAGGTTCAAAGAATTATATATACTATCTCACCTAACATTTTTAGGGATTTGCTCAAAAATCTAAAACACTAAATGCTTTGGATACAAGATATATTAATTGTTTACACCATCATATCCCAGCCAGCTGCTCTGCAGCCTCATATTGCTCAGTGTCAAGCTCAAGGGAAGGCAAGTGCTATCTAGGTATCTTTTTCCTACTAAAAGTCGAGGAATATCCAGACTGATTTTTCAGGCTCCTTTTTGTATGATTTAAACTCCAATTGATGATTGATGGCTCCAATCCTGTGGAAAATTATAGTCTGAAGTAAGACAAATAAGAAAAAAATGTTCCCTGTGAACATTTCTTCTATCTATTGTTTCCTTACGCATCCACTTAGCAAGAGATTATTTTTACATGGAGAAAAGCAAATACTAATCCCTCTGGAAGATATATTTCATCTTCTTTCCAGACATATGTACGGCACATCCACACTATCATACACATAAGCAGAACAAACATTGCTTCTTTTAGAATATAATAACAAGTGTCTCTGGAATAGCTGATGATATATAGCTGATGAAGGCTTTGATGAGAAAAACAAATCCCCATTACCTGCTTCGCACATTTCTGCCAGAAACGTTGGATTTTAATTCCCAGATCATTACCCTGCCATCGCTGACTATGAGAGCCGCAGAATTCTCATTCACTGGGCAACACACCATGCTGAAGGGCCGAACGGTTTTTGTTACTCTAATTGCATCACACTGACTTCTCAAATCGTAAATCAGCTCCTGAACTGGGTCGGCATCTGCAACATCAATGGGCCACACGAGCCAGTTAGAACAGAAAACATGCAAGGAGATGGATGCTCAGAGGGAAACAGGTACATGGACCGAGTCCTTTCGTTGAAATCACATCCTGTGGACTACTCAAGAGAAAAAAATCCAAGACTAGATACTGCCAATTTTCCTGTACTCAAAGCGTGGCTCTGGAGAGGCCT